AATTCTCAAAATAAAAAGAAATTTTGCGGGGCAAATCAAGAATTTTATAAATCCTCAAATTAAAGTAGAAATTTGCAAAAAAATTGATAATTTTTGAACAATTTGTAAAAGCATAAATATAGTCATAAATTTGATGAATTAAAAAGATGTGAGAGTTTGAGGAAAAAATCGAATTAAAAACTTAAAATTTTAAATAAAGAAAAGATAATTTATGGAAATATAAACTCTTTGAAAAGAAGAAAATAAAAAAATCGATAAATTTATGAATTCTAAAAAAATGAGAGTATATGGTTAAAAGATCGAGAATGCAGTTTCGTTCATAAAAAAAATTTAGTTTTCAAAAAAGTTTTTTATTAATTTACTATAGAAATTCCAGAAAATTATTTTTTTTTAGATGCTTCCGTAGTATTAAGTTATTTTTTATTTCATATTTAAAATATTGTACAAAAATCGAACAAATTTCATATATAACATTATTTATTATCTTTTAGTGTGACATAAAAAACGCAATTCAAAAGTACTCTGCTTCTAATAACGTTAAATTTAAAAAAAATAACTCCCATAATTTTTATCAAATAAAAAAATTCTTATTTTTCATAAACATTTTGAAAACAAATATTAAAAAATTCCTCTTTATATAAATACAGTAAGTTGTTTTTTTAATTTAAATAAAAATCAATGATAATTTAAATGTTCAATCTTTTAATTTATTAAAATCAATAATAAATTAAAATATTAAATTAAAGAAATGTAATATTATAAATAAATTTGAAAAATTTCTAACATTTCTAAAAAAAAAGTATCTTTTAGTAGTACAAAAAGAGTAGCTAAATAGTAGCAATAAAAATATAGCAATAATTATTTAAAAAAGTAGCAAATAGTGGCTTACAGTAAATAAGTGCAAAGTTTGCAATATTTCTTAAAGATTACAAGGCAATATTGCATTAAAGAGAATATAGTTAATATTACAGCAATACATATACATATTGCCTCAATATTACCCAGCAATATGGAAGTAATATTTTAGGCCGTGTCCACAATGAGCTCCTTATGTTAACATAACATAGTAGCATAACATAATGAATACAATACATTTCTTATTATTTTTATTATTATATATTAATTGTCAATTGCAAGTCTATAAATGAAAGAATTGTACATTAAAAATGTAGAACATTTTTAACATAATATTGATTATTTTTTTTTTTTGGAGAACTGAATAGGACAAGAAAATATCGTCCGCTATATATGTACAAAATGCGACAGGATAGGCTCAGGCACGCACAACGTCATTCTTTTTCTACATCAGTGAAAGGCGCGTATAGTTGTACTAGTAGTGGTATATAGATTACTATTTCTTCGTGTAAAGTTTGTTAGCAAGGTATAAACGTTTCAGCACAGGACTTACTCTAGATGTTAACATATTTTCTCAGCTCATAAAAAAAACTCAACTCAAAATGATCTTCGTACGATATACTCATTTTGAGTTGCAGAAGAAATTATACCATTTTATTTTATTCTGATTTTTAAACAAAAAAAGTTCAAAATTATTAATTTCACACAAAAATATAAATAACTCTAAATTTAAAAATTGTTTAAATTAAGGAATTTTTCATATTTTCAGAAATTTTTTTATGAGAAATAACTATTCTTTAAACACTGAAATTTTTTTTTTTTATCCAAATACTCAAACAACTGATTATTTTTATCAAATAAATTTTTTTTCAGTACAATTTACTTTAATCGGAGGTGTGAAATTTTTATCTTTTGAAATTTTCATTGTGTTAAATGTATAAATTTATTTTTCAACTTTATTAAGGTTTTAAAAGTACCGCATATTTAGAAAAAAATTATTAATTAAAAAATTTAATTCTTTTAAACAATAAAATTTCAGTGGTCCCTCCTCTTAATGTTTTCTCTGTAATATAAAATAATATTAGAAGGTCATGCAGTGCTACCAATATTTTCTTTTTTATTTTATTTATGCCACGCCTCCTCATGATATTTCTTCGGTATCATTAATTTTCGTAAGGAATAAAAATATTTACCATATTATTATTATTCACTTATTACCTACATATAATTAAATTATAGTTTTCCTAATTAAGTTTAATTTTTCGTTTTCGTTTAAACAGTTTTGTTTAATTGTTTATAATATTTTTACAATATAACTTTAATAAAATCAAGTCAAACGTTTTTTTTTAATTTAATAAATAAATAAACTTAACTAATAAAAATAAAAATTATTTTTAAATCCTACTACATTTCGAAACAAAAAAATTTTTTTTTCAAATTGATGTGGAGAAAATTTTTTTTATTTTATTTAAAACTTTTAGAAATTTTAATTTTTACTAACTTTCACAACTAACATTAGTTTAAATATGTTTTAATTAAAAATAATAAACTATTAATAAAATCTTTACTGATTTTTTTACTTAAGCAATTAAAAAATAAAAAAAAATTATTATAATTTTTACAGGCCTAGAAGCATTTAAAATTACGTACTTTACATACAGAAAAAGTAAAAATTAATGACTAATTTACGTACAAAAATTTGTAGCTTTTATTTTTATATTAATTGTTGATTGCAAATCTATAAACGAAAAAATTATACTTAAAAATTTTAAAAGAGTGCAAATTATAAAGCATTATCAAATATAAAAGAAAAAATTAAGCTTAGATAATTTTTCAAAACTTATTTTTTGTATTTTCTGCATACGGAAAATGCGTTATTTCGTGCACTCTAAGCAGGTGCAAAATATGTTCAAAGCTTGAGAATTTGTCTGATTCAACATTTTCTTTCTTCTTTTTTTTCTAATTATTTGATTAAACCATTTGGGTACGTTCACAAATTATGTCACGCGCTGAGGAGTGTAGGAGGGGGGTCCTCAACAAACGGGACACAATGTGTTTTTTCTATATAAAATACCGTGACAAGGAGGGAGACCAAAATCTTAAAAAATGCGTGACATCATTTGTTCCCTTTTCTATGAATTGACCTTTTAGGCAACTTTTTCAAAAAAGGACTTTGTAAATTTTTGATTATTATTATACCATTATTATATTTAGAATATTTCAGAATTTAACTATAAAGAACAGTTTTCTCATTTTTTGAAAAATGTTTCCAGAACATTGTGAAATTTATTTTTAAAAGTTTTTTGAGTCTGATTAATGGAAACTATTGCATATTCTACAGAATTTTAGTATTTTGAGTAAAAAATTTGAAAGATTTGAATTAATAAAAAGTTAAATAAATTGAATTTAATTCAAAAATTATTAAAAACTACTCTTTTACATATTAATTGCTTTAAAATTTTTGAATTATGGAGACAAAGGCTCTGCTCGCCCAGAAAAAAATTTCTTTGATAAATTTTTCTTTGATACAAAGAAAATTTATTTCATTCAAACAGATTATCTTTGATTCAAAAAAAAATTATCTTCGTTTTAAAGAAATTTTTTATTTAATTTAAATAAATGTTTCTTTGATCCTATATTAATAAAGAAATTTCTATTTATAGAAATTTTTTTATTTAATTTAAATAAATTGTTTTTTTGACCCTATATTAATGTTAGAATTTCTTTGATTTAATGCAAAATTTTCTTTGAAACTAAGAAGCTTTTTTTGTTTCTAAGAAAATTTTATTTTAAATGAAAGAAAACAAGTCAAAGAAATTGGTTTCTTTAAATCAAAGAAATATTTTTTCTGGCTGTATATTATATAAATATATAGTAAATAAATAAATAAATCGATTACTTATTTGACAATACAAAAACCGAAGTAAGTCTTGTACTACAAAAGTTGCATTTATTGATAAAAATCGAAGAATTAAAAAAAGGCTTTTAGTTATTTTGATATAACAAACAAAATAAATTTAACTCTTATAAATTACTTAGTTATTTTTAACTATTAAATATATTTATAACTAATTTCTTTATATATATATTTTTAATATTATTTATCTCTTTATACACGGTAATTATTATTTTTATAATTAAAAAATTTGTGTTTACGTACTTTTTTATGTTTCAAGTGTTAATTACGGACTCAAAAATTTTTTTTCCGTTTTTTGAAAATAAATTTTTTTTTTAAAGATCCAGAACATAATCAGAACATATTATTACAAAAAAGGTGATAATTATTCTCTGAATTCCTAAAAAAAATGTAATTAAAATTTTCTTTTGTGATTAACACGTCTGTAAACGTAAAAAAGTGAGTAAACACAAATTTTTTAATTAAGAAAAATTAGAATAATAATAATAATAACAATAACAGTAATAATAATAAGAATAATAATAAATTAAGAAAAATATTTTATAACGTGTACTTTTTAATACATTTCATAAGCTTTGTGCAATAATTTTTTATTCACATTATATATTGTTATTTTTATATTCTGATAAAGAAATAATTTTTGAAAAAAATCATAAAAATATTTTAAAGTGAAATAGAATAACTTGTAAAAAAAATTTAATGTGAAAGATATTTGTAAGTTTAAAATTTGATTCGAAATAAAATATAATTTTATAAGTATAACGGAAGCACAAAGAAATAGAGAAAAAAATAACATATAAAGAGCAAGGCAAAAAGGACAAAAAAGTTTCATTTTTCCTTGTGAACCTTGAATGTGTGCCCCTTCACGCCCCTGAACGTTACAGTGGTCTCTATAGAAATAACCTTTTGTTAATGATCGAACGAAGCTTGGAATCCTAGCCTAAACTTGTATATGGTTCGATTCAGTTTCGGGAGCCTGTATATCAGTTTGTAGACTTGGAATGACCCTCCAGCTTGTCAGAGAGATTTTTAAACGAAATGAACAAGCAGCGTGAGCAGTATAGAGTAGCGGAGAAAGAGAGAAGGAGAGGGGGGGAGGGAGAGAGAAGGAGAACAAGAGCAAGCGAGTTTGTGGATGGAAGGTCGGCAGGGGGAGGTGAAGGAAAGCAGGCAGGCAGGCAGGCAGGCAAGCAGGTATAGGTATATACACTATAGTGAGAGGGACGAGAGCCAGTGTTGGTTTATGTATAGGAGATTGTTAGAAAGACTCTGCTTTTGTGCCTCGTATATAATTCTACTTCTGCTCTATATGTATAATGCTTTTAACATCCGACGATAGAAGAACAAAGTCTGTGCTGGTCGGTGGCGGTCTCCATCGGCCGTACTGTAATATAATCCCCACTTTTCTGCGTCGTGTGTAAGAGAGACGAAGACAGAAGCAGTTTAGCTGTAGCATGCTGTATAGTGTGTTCGTTCTCGATGCGCGTTCAGTGTGATTCGAACGAGTAAAGTAAGAACGAGTTTGTTCGTAGTAATTTTATCGTTCAACTGTGCTCTACAAAAGGTTGATGTGCTCAATTCAGATCGAATTTGAAATCGAGAATCAAAATTGAAAGTGTCAAAAGTGGAAATTGTTAAGTGCGGTTGCAAGTGTGTTTGTAGATGACTCATTTTTACATAAATGAGGGAGGAAATATGGATTGGCCCACACCTACATGATACAAAGTGTCAGTGAGATTTTATCACTATTATAACACCACTACACTGTTCTCAGTGTAGTGTAGTGTATAATGGCTGTGAAATGGATGTTAGTGTTGAAATGCTACAGAGTAATTCTGAGTTTGTTTTGCTTTATAATAATGCTGAACAGTGCGCAGGGTTCGTGCCACTGGTCGTTGGATGGTAACGACACGCATTCGGCAATTTGTAGTCTACGTTCTCTTGACCCATCCAGTGTTGCAGGACTTTTTCCTTCACTCGACGGAGCACTCAAACTACAACTCAGCTGTAGTACCGGACATTATGTAGAAAGCACAATAACCGGGGAAAGTTGGAATCGTCTCAATGGCATTGACGAACTCATTATCAGTGGTTGTAAAATAATGGAAATTCCAAATTCTGCTTTTCAGCCATTGACTGATTTAAAAAGACTGAAAGTGCAGACATTAAATTACGAATGGAATGCAGATCGCACTCTTAAAGTGGCTTCCGATGCATTGGTAGGTTTGCGTGAATTGCTAACACTTGAATTTGTTAATAGTAATATTCAAGCGCTTCCAGCAAACGTCATTTGTGGACTTGGTAATTTACAATTTCTTAATCTAACGGGAAATCAGTTTCATGCAGTGGAAGATGTGGGGCTGGCTGAAACTCGGGCGAATAGGGCGGATTGTCGTGCTGATATTCGGATACTGGATCTTGCACGCAATCAAATACGAACTTTACGTGAAGAAAGTCCACTTTCTGGACTGCGACAACTGCAGGAACTTTATTTACAACACAATGCGATTAATGAAATAGCGAGTGATGCTCTCACCGGTCTTACAAATCTTAGAATTTTTAACGTTAGTTTTAATGATTTACAGACACTGACGGAGGGGATTTTCGTCGGTACAAGGGACCTTCGTGAAATTTACCTTCAATATAATCAGTTACGAAATCTTCCCCGCGGATGTTTTTCTCGACTTGAACAACTTCTTGTACTTAACCTTGCTGGTAATCGTTTAACCAGTGAACAAGTTGATGAATTGACTTTTTTAAATTTAATTCGCCTTATTGTTCTTGATTTGTCGTACAATATGCTCACAAAAATTGACGCTAAAATGTTCAAAGATCTCTTTTTTCTTCAAATTCTCGACTTGAGAAATAATTCCATAAGTTTCATTGAAAGCAATGCATTTTTACCACTCTATAATTTACATACTTTGGAGCTAACGGAAAATAAAATTCACACCATTGGACCACAGCTTTTTAATGGTCTCTTTGTGTTGAATCGTCTTACTCTCTCGGAAAATTCAATTGTTTCAATTGATCCATTGGCTTTTCGTAATTGTTCTGATTTAAAAGAACTTGATCTCAGTAGCAACGAACTCACATCTATACCCGAAGCATTGCGAGACCTTGCTTTTTTAAAAACTCTTGACCTTGGCGAGAACAAAATCACCGAGTTTCATAATGGCTCTTTTCGAAATCTTAATCAATTAACAGGACTGAGACTGATTGGCAACGAAGTTGGTAACTTGACTCGTGGAATGCTTTGGGACTTACCAAATCTTCAGATATTAAATCTCGCGAGGAATAAAGTGCAGCATGTTGAACAAGATACTTTTGAACGAAACGTTCGTTTGGAAGCCATTCGTTTGGATGGAAATTTTCTTTCTGATATTAATGGTGTCTTTACCAGCATTGCAAGTCTTTTATTATTGAACCTTTCGGAAAATCATATCGAATGGTTTGATTATGCATTTATTCCAAGTAACTTAAAGTGGTTAGACATTCATGGGAATTTTATTGAACGTCTCGGGAATTATTATGAAATTCCTGATTTACGAGTGAGAACATTGGACGCAAGTCATAATCGTATAATGGAGTTAGCACCACTTTCAGTGCCTGACAGTGTAGAACTTTTGTTCATTAATAATAATTACATTAGTGTTGTGCGACCTAATACATTTACCGGTAAAGTCAATCTCACACGAGTCGATATGTATGCAAACATGATCGAAACTATGGAATTAACTGCACTTCGATTAACAGCCGTGCCAGATAGTAAATTGCTGCCAGAATTTTACATCGGAGGTAATCCTTTTAACTGCAATTGTTCAATGGACTGGCTACCAGTGATAAATAATATAAGTGCACTTCGTCAATATCCGCGTGTAATGGATCTCGATAACGCCATGTGTAGAGTGTCGGGACCGCGAGGATCCGCGATTATTCCCGCATACTTGGCGCGACCTGAACAGTTTTTATGTCGTTATGAAACGCATTGTTTTGCACTGTGCCATTGTTGTGAATTTGATGCTTGTGATTGTGAAATGACATGCCCGTTGGATTGCAAGTGTTATCATGATCAGACTTGGAATACAAATGTGGTTGATTGTTCGGGTCTTGGGACTCGCGAAATACCACGTCGTATACCCATGGACGCCACGGAAGTTTATTTAGACGGTAATAACTTTCGCGAATTGCAAAATCACGTTTTCATTGGACGCAAGAACATGAGAGTTCTTTACGTGAATGCAAGTCAAGTTGAATCGATACAAAATAGAACATTTAATGGTTTAAATAATTTGCAAATACTTCATCTCGAGGAGAATAAAATACATCAGCTCAAAGGATTTGAATTCGAACATTTGTCCCATTTACGTGAACTCTATTTGCAAAATAATATTATAAGTTACATTGGAAATTTGACTCTTTTACCCTTACGTTCTTTAGAAATTCTTCATCTCGATGGTAATAAATTAGTGATATTTTCTGTTTGGCAAGCTACTTTAAATACTCGTTTAGTGCAACTGTGGCTTGGAAATAATCCGTGGTCTTGTCGTTGCAAGTTTCTGCAAGAACTCACTTCCTGGGTTTCTGATAATTCTCACAAAGTAGTCGACGTGAAGGATGTTTGGTGTTACAATAACGAGGCAAAACCACCGTATCGACGACAACTTAGTGTTAATGAAACAGTTTGTTCGGATTATTTTACCCAAGGCGGGGTTATCGATCACATAATGATTTCAGACTATCTCCCCATGGTAGCTGCTACACTTTCGGCTATTCTTTTAGTGTTGGTGCTTACAGTGCTTGCTTTTATATTTCGAGAGCCGGTACGTACGTGGGTTTATTCAAAGTACGGAGTGAGATTGTGTACAAGTGGTGCTGCCTCGGACAGTAAGGATCGCCTTTACGATGGTTATTTCTGCTACAGCCCCAAAGATGAAGATTTTGTGCTTCATTCATTGGTAGACGAATTGGAGCACGGCTTACGAGGACTTCGTCTCTGTCTCCATCATCGTGATCTCCCTTGCCTACGAGCTCCAAGCTCTGTTATTTTAGAAGCAGCTGAGGCTTCCAGAAGAGTGGTGATTGTTTTAACAAGAAATTTTCTACAATCCGAATGGAGTTGTTTCGAATTTCGTGAGGCCATCCATGAATCCTTGAGAGGGCGTATGAGTCAGCTGATTGTCATTCAAGCTGGAATAATTATTTCCAAAGCAGAAACTGATCCTGAATTAAGGCCATATTTACGTTCGGCAATGGTAATAAATTGGGGTGAGAAAAGGTTTTGGGAAAAATTAAGATATATGATGCTTCCTCATGATAGAAACAGACCTTCATTGTATAGGAATAACGTCAATACTTACACTCTTGAAAGTAGAACAGGAAAAGAGTCAACTCTCCAAGTACCTGGTAGCACTTCTGGACATCACCAGTTATTTCAAGGTTCGCCAGAACTTCTACGAGCTCCACCAGCCTACTCCAGTACTGCATTCTTCAGTCATGATAATGGTACCGAGTCTACTGCTACTATAGAAAGCTCGATAAATCCAAGTACTCGGCTTACAATGAACCACGCATACCAAGACCCTGCATTAAATAGTTTCAACGATAGCAGCAGAAGACCACTTTCGGAACATATTTACTCATCTATTGATTCGGATTATTCGACATTAGAAAAAAGTGTCTGGAGACAACATAGTGCACAGCAACAGCAACAACAACAGCAGCAGCAGCAGCAATCCGGACAAGCCTATCTCGTCTAGCTGGTTTTTACAGTTGTTGCTATTGCATGCCTTTCTACGTTACCGTTAAAATTTGCTCGAGTTAGAGGCCTAACCATTTTAATGATCGTCTTCGTAATACACAGCTCATGTACCAAACAAATCTATCGCCGCCTATTGGTTAAGTAGCCAATAATAGCGATAGATGCTCATTACAATCTTCACTAATCTTTCATTTTTTTCCCCTCAACTTTTAAACGTGTCTCATCAAAGCGGACAAATTACGATTTATTCTATTCGCATTTGCGATTCACAATACATCGCTCTTGTATATAACTTATGGAGTCGTTGTATTTTTCAATATACATTATTTTTTAGTGAAAAAATGAACGATTTATTAGGACACGGAAATCTCATTTCTAACCACAAAAGTGTTCTTTATTCACAAATAAAAGTGTAGTTGTGAAACTAAAAAAAAATTGTGCAAGTGTTAAAATTGACTGAAAGTGATGCTTTTTTCTAATTAAAAAATACATTCCGAAATGATTGAACTTTTAAAATGATTATTTCGTCAAAAAAAGACTTCATTTTTACTAAATGTAAAAAATCAAGAACCTTTGAATAATATAAAAGGTTTTAAAACTGCTACAAAAGTATTTTTATACATGCATATATGTATGTATGTATTACTGTATGTATGTATGTATTATACGAGCAACGATTCCATTTTTTCAGTTGTAATCTTTAATATAAATCGTGTCGATTTAAAAATTACAATTTTATTGCTTTAACGATAATTAAGAATTTAGCACCATGATATTAGGTAGGCAATTTTTTATAATTTTATATGACTGATGAACAGTGAATGGCGACTGTTGTATTATATGTACATATGTATTTAAATATTTACAAGTGTATAATATATTCTATATAATTTAAACATAATGATTTGTACTTTTTATTATTTATAGCTTCAAAAAACCATATTCAACCTTATTTAAGTTATAAAAAAATATTTAAACAGACATTAAAATTTGTGAATAAAATTTCATTATTTTTTCACAATTTCGAAAAAATTCAAAGTTTTCTAAATTAAAAATAACAAATTAATATAACAATGAAAAAAAATAGATATAAAAAATAATCAGTTTATTATTTATCGTATTAAAAATTTTTTAAATAAAATTTTTTCCATGCAGCAATATTTTTTTTAAAGATAAAAAATTTCTCTTTTTTCCTGACAAAATACTTTTTTTTGTTCAAATCGTCGAACATTTTTATTAAATTTCTCTATTTTTTTTATGTAAAATCATTTTTTACTTCTTATGTTCTAAAAATAAATTTCTGAAATTATTAAAACAAAAAATTTTTTTTTGTTTTTATTAATAGTTAAAATTTTTAGCATTCTTATATAAACCAAATGTTTCAAAAAACAATGATTTTTAATAGGTATACAATCCAATTATTTATACATTTTTTAAAAATTAAAATTCTTTTAAAATTTAAGTAAATATTTTCTAAAATTTTAATGAAATTCTTTTAAAAATTCAATTTTATATATTAAAAATCTGCAATTAAATTTTACAAAATTTCAATTATGTAACATCCTTGCAATTCTATATCTTCAAAAATCAAATTATTTTCAAAATTGAAATTTTTAAAAAAAATAATAATTCTAAGTAAATTCTTCGAAAATTGAATTACTTTTGAAATCTTTAATTCAAAATCATTTAAACTAATGTCAAAACTTTTATGTGTTTCAAAATTGAATTATTTATAACAATAACTCTAAATAATTATATTATTTATAAACCTTTTTCACCAAAACTATTTGCAAATTTTATAATTTTTAAAAATTTTAATTAAATTTTTTTAGAAATTTATATAAAATTTGTCTTGCATACAATTATTAACATTTTCAAGTGAAAATCGTCTGAAATTTCATTGTTGTTGTTGTTGCCAATTTGTTAAAGAGGAATGGTACACTTAACATAACTTCAAAACTGCTCTCTAAATTTGAATAAGTGAAATTTCACTTAGAATGTTTCAAAAGACTTCCACGTAGAAAAATAAGTGTATATGAACTTAAAAATAAGTGAAACTTCACTTATTTTTGAGTTTTACTTATTTTTAAGTGTATATACACTTATTTTTCTACGTGGAAGACTTTTGAAACATTCTAAGTGAAATTTCACTTATTGAGATTTAGAGAGAGAGAGGGAGAGAGAGAAATTGTTTTTTAACAATTTAATGCAAACAAAATTATGATTAAAATTAATTAAAACCAATTTTAGAAAATCTTGTTATTCATTTTGCAGAAAAACGATGTTGATTCAAAATCTTTTTTTAAATAATTAGGTATTTTTTTAACATTTTAATGTTTTTTTCTTTAGCTTAGAAAAAATTACAGTTTTTATCTAATTTTAAAAAACAAGGGCTTAGTAAGACATTATCTACAATCGCTTATATTTTTAAATTGTTAAAAGTAAGTTGTAAACAAATTATTTACTAAATAAAATTTCAATTTTGTTTAAAATTTTTAACAACTTACTTTTAACAATATTAAAATATAAGCGATTGTAGATAATGTCTTACTAAGCCCTTGTTTTTTAAAATTAGATAAAAACTGTAATTTTTTCTAAGCTAAAGAAAAAAACATTAAAATGTTAAAAAAATACCTAATTATTTAAAAAAAGATTTTGAATCAACATCGTTTTTCTGCAAAATGAATAACAAGATTTTCTAAAATTGGTTTTAATTAATTTTAATCATAATTTTATTTAAAAATGATTATTATATAATTGGTTTTAGCCTTGAATTGTGATAAATTTTTACAAAAGCTTAACAATTTTCAAATATAATAATTGTGTTATAATAATTCAAAAATATTAATTTTGTTTGAAGGTAAATATTCCTGTAAAACTATAATCGATAATTTCATGCAGGGTTGCTACGCTTTCTGAAAAGTCAGGGAATTTTATATGGTAGGTATGTAAAAGTCGGATGAAAAGTATAAAACACCTGGAAAAAAAATAAAATTATAAAATTCATCAAAATTTATTAAAAACTTGTACAAAACTGTGTAAAATTCAACAGTAAAAATCAGTTTCAAAAAAAAAAAAAAATTTCTCGCTTATTACTTATTTATTTAAAGGAAAGCAATTTTTTATAACATTAGGGGCGATTAAAGTTTCAAGAAAAAATAAACAAAATATTTTTTATTAAGTCGATTTGGTCACCAGAGGTCATTCAAGTAGGCCAAAAAAAATTTTGGGCAATCAGCGAACAGGCTACAGTCTTTCAGAAAAAATCGGATCCGAAAAAATAAATAACCGTTTTTAAGCTGAGACATGTGGTTAAGCATTCCCCCTAACCTCGATAGAAAATATTAAAAAATAAGAAATTAACAGCGATGTTTTAAAAAAGGGGCTACTTTTGGAAAGTTTTTGAACTGTAGATAAAAAGAAACAGAGCTAATTGAATTAAAGGGGGACACTTAAAAAGGTTTAATTACGAAATAAATGAATTTTTGTTTAAATTGGTTTATTAGAACTTGAGTTATGCAGTCCGCAAGTTTCAAAAACATCGTTTCCAAAAAAACGGGTTTAAATATTTAACTCCCAAATGTACAATTTTTTGTCAAAGTTTGAGACTATATTTTAGAACTTAAACTTAATGGAAAAATTTTTGCCATAAACATTTCTTATTGTGCCAAGAACCGCTCTTTTGAATGCATATAACAATTTTGTAAATTTTTTAATAAACTAATTACACTTGTTTTTTTATAAATAAAAACGTGAATGTTAGAGGTTTCATAAATATACTGCGCTGCATTTAGTTGTGTATAACTTTTTTATTTTTTTGAATTTTGATTTGGTACTTTGGGATTATATTAGGAAGATAATTTTGGAACACGAAAATCGATTTTTTGGTCGGTATAAAGTGTAGTACTACCTTAAATAATATATATCATCTTAACTATTTTTAGAAGAAAATAACCATTTTTTATAAAAAAAATTAATTTTTTTTTAACTTTGAGCATGTTTTTTTCCTTTTTTTATTTTTTATACCTGGAAATACTAAGAACATTTTGCAAAAAGGTTTTAGAGTGGATTTGATGATTCTTTTTGTTTAAATACATAAATTGTTTAAAATTTTTTTCTTTTATTATTCAAAATAAAATGCATTTTATTAGTTTGCTTTTCTATGAATAAAGTGAAAGATCCTAGTCCAGCGGTCAAGGAAGTCAGGGAATTTAATTAAAAGTCAGGGAACTTTTTAAAAATTTGCCAAAAATGAACATTTTTATACATTTTTTAAATTTTCCGTTGCAAGAAAAAGTTTTTAATGCTTATAAATAAAATAGTTTTTATTATCTTGAAAATACTTTAATGTTTGATACTTTTCATTTTTTAATATTAATTATATATATATTTAAAGAAAAGTTGGAAAAAGTCAGGGAAAAGTCAGAGAATTTTTTTTGTACTTCTTGCTGGACACCCTGCTAATCATCAAAAAGTTTTTTATTTTGAAAAATAAAAAAAACGAAAAAAAAAATTTTTTGAAACTTTTTATTAAACAAAAAGGATTATCAGGACTACTCTAAAACTTTATACAAAAAATTCTTAGTATTTCCAGATTGTAAAAATATAAAAAAATTGGACAAGTGTCAAATTGGACAATTAAAACCGAGGGTAATGTGAGCATGAACACACATAGACTCATAGTCACATAGATCGAAAATTATCAGTTTTTCCTTGAAAACGCTATGATAATCAACTCCAATCGTGCTCACTATATTTTTTTGTAATCTACATGTAATAATATACGTAAAAATGTATAAATTTGAATCCCTTAAGATAAAATTTTCTTCTTTTTTTATTCGAAAAATCCATGATTTTTTTTAAAAATATGAGTTTTCCTTAAAAACAATATGAACATCAACTCCAATCGTGCTCGCTATATTTTTCCTGTAATCTATACGCAAAAATACATATGTGTACCAAATTTCAGCCCTCTAGATAAATTCGTGTGGCCGCTAGGGGGGAGGGGTACATGCCTTGCTTCACTAGTCTCATTAATAGTCTCATTAAAAAGTAAAAAAATCATGCTTAAAGTTAAAAAAAATTAATTAGTTTAGAAAAAATCATTTTTTTTATTAAAAAAATACCTTTACAATAATGGACAATAATTTATAAAAAAAAATTTCAAAAAAGCTGTACATCGCTTAAGTCCATTGTGAACTCAACCAAACGTTAGGCAGTAGAGTGTCTTTGTCACATTTACACTCTTGGTTCTAAATTTTCAGGAAGACTCACACTGAGAGACCTTTTGCACCGCATCAGAACTACGTGTGTGACTGCAGCGCCACTATAGGTTTTGGTGCGCTGCATTCTAAATTTTGTATCGTGACTGCCCAAAAATGAAAATGAACCTTTCGGCCGTCAATTTTTTGGACAGCTACGCTCCAAAAATTGTACGGCTGCAGACCAAAAACGTAGTTTCATAGCTGACCGCTAGAATGCTCCGCAGCCGTCTGTCGAAAGTCTGTTACGGTGCAAAAGGTCTCTCAGTGCATGAATGACAAACTCACGAAAACGAAGAAAATTCTCGTCAACTTGACGAGTGAGAAAAGGGAGGGTGGTTCGTTCGTGTTGAAAGTAGGTTCAGAAGATCTATCGACTTTCTCCCTTACAGGAAATGAGATTTACTATATATAGTATATATTTTTTTCTCTTGGGCAGTAGAGTGAATGTGGCTTATTTTTAGAAAATCTTAATATTTAGTAGTAGGAATAATTTAAAATGTCCTTACAAGACATTTTTTCTATTTTCTTTGAAATGCTTTAATTTTTAAGTTAAATTGTATAGGAAAAACTTAGTTTGACAATTTTTAAACATAATACGTCTTTTTTAGTATACAATGGAGAGCTTCTTCAGATCTTT